ATGGGTTGCTATGGGGCACTGTGGGGCACTTTGGGGTCTCTATGGGTCCCTATGGGGGACTGTGGGGTCCCTATGGGGTTTCTATGGGTCACTGAGTGTACCTCTGGGGTCTCTATGGGTCCCTATGGGGTCTCTATGGGTCCCTCTGGGTCCCTCTGGGTCTCTATGGGTCATCTGTGGGTCTCTGTGGGTTGCTATGGAGCACTGTGGCCCCTATGGGTCCCGATGGTTCCCTATACATCCCTATGGGTCTCTGTGTCTCCCTATGGGTCTCCACGGGGTCTCTATAGGGTCCCTATAGGTCCCTATTCATTCCTATGGGCCCCAATGTTTGTTTCCCTATGGATCTCTATGGGTTCTCTGTGGGTCCCTATGGGTCCCTATTCACCCCTATGGGCCCTAATGGCTCCCTATGGGTCCTATGGGTCCCTATTCATCCCTAGGGATCCCCATGGCACCCTATGGGTGTCTTGCGGTCTCTATGGGATCCCTATAGATCTCTATTCATCCCTATGGCTTCCTGTTCTTCAGTATGGGTCCCTATCTGTCTCTATGGGTCCCTGTGGGGTCCCTATGGGTCCTAATGGTTCCCTATGGGTTCCTATGGATATCTATTCATCCCTATGGCACCCTATGGGTCCCTATGGGCCCCTGTTTCCCTATAGGTCCCTATTCATCCCTATGTGTCCTATGGGTCCCTGTGGCTTCATATGGGTTCCTATGGGTCCCTGTTCACCCCTATGGGTCCCTATGGTTCCCTATGGCTCCCTATGGATCCCTATTTACCCCTATGGGTCCCAATGGTTCCCTATGGTGTCTGTGTGCCCCTATGGGTCCCTATGGGTCTCTATGGGTTCCTATGTTTCCCTATAGGTCCCTATTCAACCCTATGGCTCCCTGTGGCTCCCTATGGGTCCCTGTTCACCCCTATGGGTCCCAATGGTTCCCTATGGTGTCTGTGTGTTCCTATGCGTCCCTATGGCTCCCTATGTGTCCCTATGGGTTCGTATGGGTTCCCACGTTTCCCTATAGGTCCCTATGGATCCCTATGGCTTCCTATTGCTCCCTATGTCTCCCTGTGGCTCCCTATGGATCCCTGTAGCTCTCTATGGGTCCCTATGGGTTCCTATGGGTCCCTGTGGCTCCCTATGTGTCCCTATGGGTCCCTATGGATCCCTATGGCTCCCAATGGGTCCCTATGGGTCCCTATGGGTTCCTATGGGTCCCTGTGGCTCCCTATGGGTCCCTATGGCTCCCTATGTGTCCCTATGGCTCCCTATGTGTCCCTATGGCTCCCTATGGGTCCCTCTGTGTCCCTATGGGTCCCCATGGTGTCCGTGCGTCCGTCCGTGCTGCCGTTGCCCCCCCGCCCCCCGTTGCTGACGTGGTTTCCTGCAGGCCGCCATGACGCTTCCGCCTCTGCCTCCCCGCGAGGAAGGGAAGGAACCTCCGGGACCCACAGCGTGGGGGGGGCGGCCCCACGGCCCCCATTGCTCAGGTGAGATATGGGGGACTGGGGGGTCAATCTGTGGGGCAGGGGTCAAACCCATGAGGCAGAGGGTCAAATCTATGGGACTGGGGTCAAATCCATGGGCTAGAGTCTGGATATGGAGCAGGGCCTGAAATCTATGGGGCAAGGTCCCATATCTATGGGGCACGGGTCTGGGTGTGGGGCTGGGGTCATATCTATGGGGCAGGGTCCCATATCTATGGGGTGGGGGTCATAGGTATGGGCTGGGGACTGGATATGGGGCTGCAGGTCATATCTATGGGGCTGGGGTCATATCTATGGGGCAGGGTCCCATATCTATGGGGCAGAGATCAGGATGTGGGGCAGGGGGTCCCATATCTATGGGGCTGGGGGTCATAACTATGGGGCAGGGGTCACATCTATGGGGCAGAGCTCCCATCTATGGGACAGGGTTCCCATCTATGGGGCTCGACTCCCACCTATGGGGCAGGGGGTCCCGTATCTATGGGGCTGAGGTCATATATATGGGGCCGAGGTCATATCTATGGGTCAGGGGTCAAAATCTATGGGACAGGAGTCCCATATCTATGGGGCAGAGGTCAAATCCATGGGGCATGGGGTCATATCTATGGGGCAGAGCTCCCATCTATGGGGCAGGGGACAAATCTATGGGGCGGAGTTCAAATCTATGGGGCAGGGTCCCACGTCTATGGGGCAGGGCTGCCATTGATCCCAAGCCCCGCCCCCCTGTAAGTTCCTTCCCCTCAAACCGGAAGCCCGACAACTCCTTTTACACCTGACCGGAAGTTCCGCCTACTGCAACCGGAAGGCGCTTAAGCCACTGGGAGAATTCCCGCCCATATGTACAAGTCCTCCCCACCCACAAAACCGGATGTTCCGCCCCTTAAAACCACAAGTCTCCCTCCAGTGCAATCAGAGCCCATTCCCCCCACAACCGGAAGTCCCGCACGCCCCCCTCAACGTAACCCCCGTCCAGTCAACCGGAAGTCCCACACCCCCACCCGCTGCCGGAAGTCCCGTCCCTCCACAACCGGAAGTCCCTCCCCGCAGGAGCATCTCCGTTCCCGCTCCGCCCCTCCCCTCGCCGCCCGCCATGGACGTGACGTACGCGGTGGTGAACAAGGGGCGGGGCCGGGGGAAAGGACAAGCCATTTCCGGTGGAGAGCACGGCACTTCCGGTCGAGACCACGCCTCTTCAGCTCGAGACCTCGCCCAATCCGGACGAGACCACGTGACCCGAGACCACGTTCATTTCATTGGAGACCACGCCCCCTTCGGACGAGACCACGCCCTCTCTGGAAGCCCCACCCACCCCAGAAGCCCCGCCCACTCCGGAAAGCCAATGGGAAGTAAGAGATGCGCTTAGCCAATAGGGAGCGATCCTGAAGGGGGGCGTGGTATAATGGGGGCGAGGCCTGATTGGTTAAATGGCCAAAAGGGGGCTTGGCCTGAATGGTGGGCGGAGCTTGTAGAACAATTATGATGAGGATCTGATTGGTGGGCAGGGTTTAAAGGGGGCGTGGTCTGATTGGGGACCGGGCCGGGGGGGGGGGGGGGGCGGGGCCTGAAATGTGCCCCGCGGACGGGGGCGTGGCCAGAATGGGGGCGTGGTCTGATCAGACCGAAAGTGGGCGTGGTTTAATGATGGCGCATCCTGATTGGGTGGCCTTAAAGGGGGCGTGGCCTGCTTGGTGGGAGGGGCTTATAAAACGGGCCTCGTTTCGTTGGTGGGCGGGGCTTTATGTAGGGGAGTGGCCTGAGGGCGTGGTCTAGGTGGGGCGTGGCTGAATGGGGGCGTGGCTTAAGTAGGGGGGTGCCTGGCATTGATTGGTGCTTTGAGGGGGCGTGGCCTAAGTGGGCCCGAAGTGGGCGTGGGTCTATGGGTGTCTGTGGGGTTCTATGGGGTTCTGTGGGGGAGCACTAGGGGGGGCGTCAATGGGGATCTATGGGGTTTCTATAGGGGGTCTATGGGGCGCTAGGGGGTTTCTATGGGGGGTCTGTGGTTCTATGGGGGGGTCCGTGGGGTATTAATAGGGTGTCTATGGGGATCTATGGGGTGCCTGTGGAGAATCTATGGGTGTCTGTGGGGTTTTATGGGGTGTCTATAGGGTTCTATGGGGTTCTAAGGTGGATCTATGGGGTTTCTATGGGGTCTTTGTAGGTTGTCAATGGGGACCTATGGGGATCTGTGGGGTTTCTATGGGGGATTTATAGGGTCTGTGTCCCCACAGCGCCCCCTGATGGCGCATATGAAGAAGTGACACCTCCAGGAGACAGCGCAGCTCCTGCACTGGGTGAGATGCGGCCCCATAGCCGCCCCATAGCTGCCCCACAACTGCCCCATAGCTGCCCTGTAACTGCCCCATAGCCATCACATTGCTGCCCCATAGTCACCCCATAGCTGCCCCATTACCACCCCATAACTGCTCCATGGCCACCCCATAGCTGCCCCATAACTGCCCCATAGCTGCTCAATAGCCACCCCACTGTCACATAACCCCCGACCCCTTATGAACCCCATAGTGACCCCATAAACCCCCGCCTGTGCCCCATAGAACCCCATAACCCTATAGAACCCCACAGTGACCCCATAAAACCCCACAACCCCCCAACTGTGCCCCATAGAACCCCATAACGACTCCATAGAACCCCATAACCCTATAGAAACCCATAGAACCCCATAGTGACCCCATAACCCCCCATTTGTGCCCCATAGAACCCGATAGCGACCCATAGAACCCCATAACCCTATGGAACCCCATAGCACCCCATAGAACCCCATAACCCCATATGACCCCAGTGACCCCATAGAACCCCATATAACTCCGTTAACCCCATAGACCTCACAGTGACCCCATAGAACCTCATATAACCCCATAAAGCCCCATAGCGACCCACAGAACCCCATAAAACCTCACACTGCCCCCTTAGAACCCCATAGAACCCCATAGTGACGCCATAGCAACCCCATAACCCCATAAAACCCCCAGCGACGCCATAACCCCCCATTTGTGCCCTATAGAACACCACAGTGACCCCATAGGACCCCATAACCCCCATAGAACCCCATAGTGACCCCATAATCCCATAGACCCCACTATAACCCCTAGAACCCCATAGCCACCCCATAGAACCCCTTAACCCCCTAAAACCCTACAACGACCCCATAATCCCCATTTGTGCCCTATAGAACCCCATAGCACCCCATAGGACCCCATAACCACATAAAACCCCATAGAACCTCATAGAAACCCATAGTGTCCCCTTAGAACCCCTTAACCCCCTAAAACCTTGTGACAGCCCCATAGAACCCCATAACCCTATAAACCCCCGTGACCCCATAGAACCCCATTACCCGCCATTTGTGCCCTGTAGAACCCCACAGTGACCCCATAACCCCATAAAACCCCACAGTGACTCTATAGAACCCCATAACCCTGTAGGAACCCCACAGTGACCCCATAGAACCCCATGGACCCCCATAAAACCCAATAGCAACCCCATAGAATTCCTTAGAACCCCCTAAAACCCTACAACAACCCCATAATCCCCTATTTGTGCCCTATAGGACCCCATAGCACCCCATAGGACCCCATAGAGACCCCATAGAACCCCCTAACTCCCTAAAACCCTATGACAGCCCTATAGAACCCCATAACCCTATAAAACCCCACAGTGACCCCATAGAACCCCATAAAACCCAATAGTGACCCCATAGAACTCCCTAGAACCCCCTAAAACCCTACAATGACCCCATAGCCCCCTATTTGTGCCCCATAGCACCTCATAACGACCCATAGAACCCCATAAAACCCCACAGAACCCCACAGCGACCCCATAAAAGCGCACGGTGACCCCAGAACGCCATTCGCACCCTATAGGATTTCGGGATCGGCCCCCGAAGCCTCGGGGTCCCCGCGCCCCCCCCCCGCATTGGGGTCAGCTGTGAGAGCAGCGGCGTTTTGGGGTCAAAAAGGGCGGAATTGGGAAAACCCGACAAATAAAGGGGAAATCCTACAAGGCTTCCGGGACCTACAGCTTCTGCCACCCCAAATCCCCCATTTCTGACCCCCAAATCCCCCATTTCTGACCCTAAATCCCATTTCTGACCCCAAATCCCCCATTTCTGACCCTAAATCCCAATTTTTTACCCCAAATCCCCCATTTCTGACCCCAAATCCCCCATTTCTGTCCCCAAATCCCATTTTCTGATCCCAAACCCCCCAACTTTGATCTGGTACTCTGGGATTCTATGGGGGATTCTGGGGTCCCATATTTTGTATCATGGGATTCCATGGGGAGGTTTTGGGATTCTGGGCCCTTTTATCTGGGATTACGGGGTTTTATGGGGGATTACGGGACTGAGGGCCCTATATCTGGGGTAATAGGATTCTATGGGGTCGTGTATTTGGGATGACGTGGCTCTATGGGGGATTCTGGGGCGCTATATTTGGGATTATAGGATTCTGTGGGGAGATTATGGGACTACGGGGTCCTAGAGCTGAAATTATAGGATCCTGTGGCTGCATTATGGGATTATGGGTTCTGTATCTGGGATTATAGGATTCTATGGGGTCCTATGGGGTTGAGTATTTGGGATTCTGGGGTCCTATGGGGGATTCTGGGGTCCTATTTTTGGGATTATGGGGTTTTATGGGGGGATTATAGGATTTTTGGGGTCCTATGTTTGGGATTCTGGGGTCCTATATCTGGGATTATAGGATTCTATGGAGGATTCTGGGGTCCCATATTTGGGATTATGGGGTTTTATGGGGGGATTATGGGATTTTTGGGGTCCTGTATTTGGGATTATAGGATTCTACAGGGGTTTATGGGATTCTGACGTCCTACATCTGGGATTATAGGATCCTATGGGTTCTATGGGGACCATGGGGTGCTGAGTGCTGTGGGATGCCGAGTATTATGGGATGCCCCCCCCCCCCCCTCCATTCCCCCCCCCAGGCAGGACTCCACCCTCGTTCCCGTACAGCCTTTATTGGACCCACAGATTTGGGGTTTTAGGGGCTGTAAATTCCCCCCCCCCCCCCCCGGCCCTATAGGGTCCCTATAGGGTCTGTACTGCCCCCCTGCCCCCATCCCCCAGGCACTATAGGGTCAGGATCAGCCCCATCCATGCTGTAGGGCCAAGGGGTCCCCATGGGCTCTGTAGGGTCAGGATCAGCCCCATAGACCCTATAGGGGTGCCCCCCATATAGGATCTATAGGGCCAGGCTCCCCCACTGACCCCATAGGGCTGAGAAACCCCATAGGAGCTGTAGGGTCAGGATCAGCCCCAGTGACCCTATTGGTGTGTCCCCCATACAGGATCTATAGGGCTGAGATCCCCCATAGGCCCTATAGGGCCAGACCCCCCCCCCAGGCTCTCTAGGGTCTGGATCCCCTATAAGCTCTATAGGGCCGGGTTCCCCCCCCAACAGGCTCCAGACCCACACAGGCCCTATAGGATTTCCCACAGACATTATAGGGCTGCCCCCCCCCCAGCCACAAAAGGCTCCGGCTCCCCCCGCCCCCCTGCAGGACCATAGAATCCATAGGGCCCGGCTCCCCCCAGTGCTACGCATGTACAAAACCTGCCCCTATGTACATATCTACACCTGTGGGGGGGGGGGGGCGGGGGGGTAGTAAACTCGGTGTAACCCCGGAGTAACGCTGGAGTGAAGTCAGAGTAAAGGGCCAAGGGGGGGGGACGCGCCCCAGGGGGGGGGCCCGGGGGTGTGAGGGGGGGGGGGGGCGGTGGGGAGGCTCAGAGTAACACAGGAGTAACCTCAGAGTAACCTCGGCGTAACCTTGGAGTAACCTCGGAGTAAGCTTGGAGTAACCTTGGAGTGGCAACAGAATATCATCCTCATAGTAAAGTGGGATTGGAAGAGTTGCGATGCTAGGAGTAAAGCCGGAGTAAGCTCAGAATAACCTCAGAGCAAGGATGGAGTAAAGCCTGAGTAACGTTGGAGTAAAGAGGAAGAGTTAAGTACCTCAGAGAAAAGCAGTAGGAAGCTCCAAGTAACCTCAGAATAACCTGGGAGTAATGCTGGAGTAAAGTCTGAGTAACACTGGAGTAAGGTGGGGCTGGAAGTGTTGGGAACCTCAGAGGAAACTGGGAGTAACCTAGGAGTAACATCAGAGTAGTACAACAGTTGGAGTAAGGTGGCATTGGAAGTGTTGGGGAGCCTTGGAGTAAAGAATTATCATCCTCAGAGTAACCTTGTAGTAATGCTGGAGTAAAGTGGGATTGGAAGAGTTGGGAGCCTCAGAGTAAAACAGGAGTAAGCTAGGAGTAACCTCAGAGTAACATTAGAGTAAGGGAGCTGTAGTAGTGGCTGAGTAACATCATTGTGAGCCCCGTCCTGGGGAAAAGCCCGTAGTAAGGCCTGAGTAACCTCGGAGTAAGGGGGAAAAGGCCAAGATGCAGCCCTGAAAACAATGAGCGAAGGCACTGCAGGGAGGGGGGGAGCTCGGAGTAAACCTTGAGTAATGTGTGAGTAATGCTGAGTAAGGCCAGGAGCCCTCTGAGTAAGCCAACACAAGGCCCGGTGAGGGATTGATGGTGTTGAGAGGCGGTGAGTAACCTGCGAGTAAAGGCTGAGGAACCTTGGAGTAAGGGGAGGGCAGTCGGAGAAATGCCTGGGGGAGGGGGAAGCAGGGAGAAAAGGGTGAGTAATGAGGAAGTAGAGGCAGAGGAAGTTGCTGGGGGAAAGGTGGAGTAGTGGTGGAGTAATGAGTAAACTCCACATAAAGGCTGAGTAAAGTCAGAGTAAAAGCTGAGTAGAGACAAAGCACCAAAAAACTCCAACAGAAGGGCTGAGTAAAGTCAGAGTAAGGGCTGAGAAGTGACAAAGTGCCAAGGAACTCCTAAGTAAGGGCTGAGTAGAGTCAGAGTAAGGGCTGAGTAACAGTGGAGTACCAAGGAACCCAAAGTAAGGGCTGAGTAATTTCTAAGTATGAAACAACAACTGAGAGTGGAGTAAGGGGGGAATAAACCTGGAGTAAGGGCAGAGTAAGGGTGGAGTAAGGACTGAGTATATCCAGAGTAATGGGGAAGTAAAGGCTGAGTACAACCAGAGTAACGGCTGAGTAAGCCCAGAGTAAGGGGTGAGTAAAGTTAGAGTAAGGGGTGAGGAAGCCCAGAGTAAATGCAGAGGAAGGGCTGAGTAAAAGCAGAGTAAAGGATGAATAAGGGCTGAGTAAGGGCTGAGCACACCAAGAGTAAGGGCAGAGTAAGGTGCGAGTAACCCTGGAGTAAAGGTGGAGTAGGGCTGTAGACACAAAGTGCCCCCCCCCCC